AATCTGCGCCTGAGCTCACCTGGCTATAGACAGAATTTCATTTACTCCCCGGATGTTGGGTCTCAAGTTCTTCTCTGGTTGTTGGCTGGAGTCTCCTCTCAGTTCCCTGCAGGTTGGGTCTCCCCAGCTTGCTTCATTATAGCCAGCAAGAACAGTTATTTGGAAGTCTCTAGAAAGACAGACGTCCCCTCCTGTAACCTCTTCACCTTCATTACTGCATATCACCTCTGCCATATTCTGTCACTTAGAAGTAAGTTCCCTACTCAAGGAGCCAGGATTATACTGGAAGCCACATCAGAAGCTGCCTACAACAAGCCCATTTTAGAAAGAGTATAACATATGATTACGAGGGCATCTTTCCGTATTACTTAGAATTGACTTCAAATCTTGGATCCGCTGTTTACTAACTGCTTAACTGGCCTTTCTAAGCCCATCGTCCTGAGCCACATGGCCCCTTCCCCACATGACTGTTGTGTTCCTGAGTGAGAGATCACATGTAAAGCCTTGAAGAATGGTAAGCTGTCAGTAAGAGTCAGCTACTGGCTGTTCTCTTCATCTTTGCCTTTGATTTTATTATTCTTGGGGGGTTTCCTTATAATATTAGACTTCTAAAATATTATAGCCAGAAACTCCTACTGCCCTCAGATTTGCTTATTCATGTGGAAATCCCAGGCCCCTGCGAGATTTCCTGGGCATAGAGGTATTGCCAGACTCGCTGCGGCGTCCTCCCAGGCTTGGGACTGCAGAACAAAGGTCTTTGGCCTCAGGAGAGCTGCAGATCCCATCCCTGGTGTGTGTGAGCAGCCACTGGCCCTGCAGAGGACCTGGCAGTGGTGACCAAGCATGTGCTCAGCCGGCCTGCTGTGCTCCCTCAGCCTTGCATTTTCTGGTTGGGTAGTGAGAGCAGCCCAGCATGTCCTCAGCCCATTTCCAAAGCTGAGAAGGTAAACAGGGAGACAAAACCCTCACTCCCTCCCCCCTGTAGGCTTCCAGGACAGAGTCTTGCACATAGTCCCTGCTTGTCCACCACAAGCTCTCTTCCATCTCTGCCCTCCTTCCTGACCAGAGGACATCTGCCCTTCCCCCATCCTTTACATCCAGAGAACCTATTCTTAGTCCCAGTGGTCTTGTGGGAGAACTTTCTGGGGTCCTGCTGTGTCATCCTGGAGGAGGGATGTGGGCTGTAGAGGCTACTTACATTATTTTTCTGGATTGTTCTAGTGTCTAGTGTGAGTGTGTCCCTCTCCTGAACTTCTTTGAGGATACAGATCTTCTGGAGCTCCTGAGCCCCTGCCCTGGAGGCCCTTCTCTGGAGAGCCAGGTTCCAAGTGGCCTCGGAGAACATCTGTTTTCAGTGACTTCCCATCTAATTCCTGTCAAGGAGATTTAGGCAACACTGACTGAGCATGCTGCAACCCAGACCCAAACCCTCTTCCTCACCAAGGGAAGGAAAGAGAAGCTCCTCTTTGACCCAGGGAACTGTGTTCAGTCTGTGTGACAACTAGGCATGGGTTTTAGTATAATTCTGTTTGCTGAGAATTTTCTGTAGTGACTGCCCTTTAAATCACTCCATCATCTTACCTTATGCAGGAGAATACCGTGTGAAGAAGTGTTTTATTTTATAGCATTGTACTTAGATGATTAGGAAAATGTGACACTGGATTGTCAATGGCACAGCTGGGCCACCCAGACATCAGACGTCCCCACTTGACTCGATGGCAAGGCTTCTACTCTTGCGCACATGCTAACCACCTCCTGGCCTCCCTAGGCGACAGATGCCGGGGAATTACAGCGTGAATGTGGCTTTCGTGCCTGCAGCTGCCACCCAGCCGCGGGAATAGTGCCGGTTTAGGACAGATTGGGTGGGTGAAATCGACAGGGAAACGTCCTCGTGATCCACATCCCTGGAATCACGTGTCTTGCTCCAGGAGCCCTAGAAGGGAAGTTTCATGGAGGAAGGAATACTGGTCTCTGATGATTCTTTAGGAGGGCTGGTTTCTAGAAATGGCTGAACTCAATAGCCCGAGCAGTTTGCCCTAGAGATACGGGTGAGGAAGGTTTCTGGGTTCTTCTAGCATGCTGACGTTGTGGTGTTATGCAGTATCCTTGGCAGGAAGCCCAACTGCTAAATTGCTTTCCTAGGAAAAAGTTTCTCCTTGAGAGTTTTTTTTTTCCAGTGACAAACCTTCCACAGGTTCCAGAGAACAGAGCACTTACAATTCACTTTTCCTTTCAGCTTGTTGGTATTCATTTGGATGTCTGATTGTTTTGAATGTCGTATCTTTTGACATTGTAAGGATTTTAAAAATTAAATTCACTAAACCAAATTTAAGCCTTTTGATTTAATTTTTATATCTCTAAGAAGTACTTAATCTATAGCCTTTTATGAATTATGAGGTTATTTTTATACATTAGTGCCTTTTTTCTCTTTTTATCTTATTTGAACACAAAAAATTTTTGAGAATTTGCCTATCAACCCCTTTTTAAAATTTTGTATTCATTTTAATGAGAAAAAGCAATGAAACAGTTTCAAACAGGTTAGTAGGACAGTTACAGTAATACATTACACATTGTTGTCTTTGTAGTAGTTATTCAGAGGACAAGATGCAGACATGATATCTTGTCTAAACAATATTAGTACAAACCTTTCTTTTCATTGAACTAACAGAAGGTAACTGTATATCTATCCTATTTTGTATGTACATATTTTTTTTCACTACAAAATGGTCCTTTACTTATATCCCCCCTTTTGTTTTGTCAGAGATGGGTATTCCATTATTGTTAGAGAAGCTATATTTGTTTGTTTGGGTTTTTTTGGCAAGTCAGGGGATTGAACTCAGACCCTTGTGCTTGCCAGGGAAGCGCTTATTTCACTGAGCCATCTCCCCAGCCCCGAGAAGCTGTATTTGGAGAAGTCTTTAAAGGACATTTTCACACTTGGACCCCTTTCTTAAATAATATTTTATAATGAGCTGGTGTTTATTTTGTTACTTTGTAAAGTAGATGCCTTCAAATATGGTGCAGTGAAATCCAAAGTTTGTATTCATGTGCCTTGTTTATTAATGCCTATTGTCTGGATTGAATTCACTGTCCACTAAACAAAAAGAAACACAGATAATGTACAAATTTAGTTAATGAACAGCAAGAGTTTATAGCTGTGTGTGACCAAAACAACAGCAGTGATGCAGAGCAGCAGTAGCAGATAGATCAATGTGGTGAATTCCACCTAACACTCAAAAGCGTTTTATGAAAGAGGTCTACATAAAACTTTACGACTTGGTCAGATTGCCAAGTCCTTACATGGTTACGGACGTAAACTAATGAGACACTCATAAAGATATGAAATGAGTCCATCCTTCAAAAAACGCTGCGAGCTGAGGCTGTGCGATGTGAAGCGGCTGTAATCCCTGATATACAGGAGCATGCAGTGGGAGATGTGAATTCAAGGCCAGCATGGGGAATCCAGTGAAACGCTGGCTCAAAATAAAATTAAGAGAAGATAGGGATGTAACTCAGTGCTCCCTGGGTTTAGTCCCCAGTACTGGAGTGGGGGAAGTTGTGAGAATGCCTAATAGAAATGTAGTATTTTAATGTAGTGCATGCTTATGACATGTAATAATTGCATTTATCGTGGGGAATCAATGTATATCACGTCTTGGTCATTTTTACTCCCCTCCTTTTCCTTTTCCAGATCCTCTTCCCATGGCCAGAGTCTGCCTTCCTGTTTCCTAGCACCTCTCCTTTTACTCTTTAAATTATGTAATTTTTGGTTTCATGTTAGAGAAGCCATGTGATATTTGACCCTTTGTGTTTATTTCCTCTTAGTATCTCAAAATCCACCCATTTTCCTACAGCCTCAGTTACTCTTCTCTCGTTGCTGGGACAAATACCTGACACTTAAAATGAGGGAAGGAAAGGGTTATTTAACTCTCAGTCAGTGGAGGTTTCAGCCTATATTTCCCTGGCTCCAAGGCAGAGTGGCACATGGCAGAGAGCAACCTTTCATGGTGGCAGTAAAGAGCGAGAGAGCAAGGGAGGAGCAGCCGCAACAGTGGCTACAGAGAGCAAGTCTGTCTCCCTTATGTTGTGTTCAGGCTCTCCGCCCCAGGCTGGGTGCAGCACTCACACCCATAATCCCAGCAGCACTTACACCCATAATCACAGTACATCATGAGTTAATCACAAACTCTAGAAGTCTGCCCCATGACTTCCTGGGGCTCTAGGGGGAACCTAGACACAAACCATAACACCTGCAAATGACTCTCATTTATCATTCTTTGTGGGGCCGTAGAACTTCATTGTGTGTGTATACCACATTTTCTTTATCGGCCCATGTGTTGATGGGCGTGTAGCCACTTCCGTGAGTGAGTGAGCTATTACGAGTTGCGCTGCTATAAAAGTGGTTGTGCCTGGTCACTGTAGTATCATTACTTCAACTCTTTCAGGAAGATACCTGGAAGAGGAATAGCTGCGTCCAGAGGAATTTCTGTTATTTGTTTTTTGAGGACTTGCCATACTGTTTTATCTCCATACTCATTGCCGCATTGATTGTAGACGTATCATGCTGGAAATGGTTTGTGAAACCCTAAAATTGCTGCAGAATCTCTCCAAATTAATTTGTTGCAAAATCCTAAAATGTGTTGAACCCGAAGTCCTTCTTAAGAATACCAGCAGGCTGTCAGGAGAAGAATAGGACATTTGACAGGTGTGCAGAAACTCTCAGAAAAAGAGTTGCATTTTAAGCAAATTGCTTGCTCATTAAGCCCGTTGCCCTGCAGCCGCAGGTGGTGACAGCTAAATGGAGTGTGACTTGCTACAACTACACACTGGTGTCTCCTTCTTGCCTCTTTTCTCTTTTCTTATTTTAATTGGGCTCATGTATAAATATCTTTCCTGATAAGCTATTTAAAATCTTTTGCAGGGAGTGGGTGGCCTAGAAATCTTAAGTTGTACATGAAGTTGTGTTCTGTCCGCTCACACGCGCCCGACTTCTGTTGCAGAGAGCAGCCCATCTTCACCACCCGAGCGCATGTCTTCCAGATCGACCCCAGCACCAAGAAGAACTGGGTGCCTGCGAGCAAGCAGGCCGTCACTGTTTCCTACTTCTATGATGTCACAAGGAGCAGCTACCGGATCATCAGTGTGGACGGAGCCAAGGTACCACCCCACAAGATGGCTGTTAACATTCTCGCTTATTTTTCATTTAAAGCAGTGTCTTTAAAAAGTACAGGGAGGGTTGGCCAAATAGTTCAGTGGATTAAAGCGCCTGTAAGTAGGTGCAGGGGCCTAGAGTTCAATCCCCAGGTCTTCCTTGCTGGCCTTGCCTCCAGTGCATGTAGTGACAGTGATTGAGACTGAGCATGTGCCTGTAATCCCAGCTCTCGGGAGACTGTAAACAAATGGATCACTATGAATCCTATCTAGTAGTGAGACCCTGAACACCCTGTAGACCCTCCCCTAAAATAAAAAAAAAGCCAAAAAACAAAAAAGTAGAGGGAAAATGTTGTGCTCCGAAATCCTGCTGTCTTCTCAGAGAAGTTGTAATTATAATGTCTGTATAATCCCGTATCCTTTTTTGGAGGCCAAGGGACTGGCTGACTTCTAACTTGTGATCCTCCTCCCTCTCAGCCTCCCAGGTACAGGGATTAGAGGTGTGCGCCACCAGGCCTAGCTTAGCCCGCTCTTTATTTCTACTTGAAATCATGGCAAATGAGTAAAAAAACAGATTTTGCTGTTACTACATTGTTTTCATAAGTAATATTTCAATACCTGCATAGTGAGTTCATCAGGGCTTATAATACTCTTTTTAATGTCTCTCCTGTGATTGGCTTCCAGGTTTTGCTACTATAGATGAGCATTTTAGTGGACTGAATGGCCTCACTTGTCTGTTCCATACCTATTGCTTGCTTTTGTGTATCTTCTCAGAACAGATTCCTAGAAGTAATAGTGTAGGTAGTGATATTAACGCTTTACGGTCTTGGATCATATTGCCAAATTACTTTTATTTTATTTCCAAATTACTTTTAGAAGGGCTCTTTCTTCTGGTGTGTATGAGAACACCAGTTTACTGTACCCTTGCCGGCAGTGGGTATTATATCCAGGCTCATCCTGGTGTTTAATTAGACACCAGAGTCGAATTTTATTAAATGGCTTTGGAGAATTTCTTCAAAGATTTTTTTCCCTTGTACTTTTATTATTGTGCCATCTTTCTCCATATTTTTGTCAATTTTTATGGGGAAAGAATGAAGGGATGCCAGCAGACAGACCACCAAGTCTTTTTCTAAACAATTTAAACCTGCTTTTTTTCTTTCATTTGTGTTCATTCTGCTGGATGTTTACACATGCTGTGATCTAAAATTCAGTGTGCCTGCAACTGAGTCCCCAATTTACCCTCTAAAGCAGCTTTCTGTTTTTAGTCTTCCAGTTACTTGGCCAAAAAAACACAACACAACACAGCACAATACAAAGTCAGTCCTTGTCAATCCACTCTGCCTCTTAAACACAGCCTACATATATGCTGTTGTGTTTTAAGCTCCTAACTCTTGTCCTGATGCGGTCTTGCTTGGACTCTTGCAGTAGCCTCCTGGCTGCCTCCTCTCCTACCTCATCTCTCCTGACTTCTGCTCTAGGTCAGCCTTCCTAGGCAACAGGAATTGGGCAAGGTGAGAGCTGGGCACTGGAAGGGGCCTGGTGTCGGCGTTTCCCCTCTTCCACAAAATGGAAGGCATGGGGAAGCCTTCACTAGAAGACCTGCTGGGGAAGGGATGAGAGCTCGCTGGTACCTTTGGATTTGGTGAGGTGAATCAGAATTTCCTGTCCTCCAGGGACTTCCTTTGTGACCTCAGCACCATGGTGACTACAAATAAAGGCATCTTGGGTCTGTGATCTTCCTTCTCTCTTCCTTCCAGTTCCAACAGCCCTTCCTCCTACTCAGGAAGGGAGCCCGGAAATCCCCATCTTATAGCTGAGGTCTAGGGAGTCAGTGGCCTGGCCAGGGTCAGTGCTGAGGGGCTTGTGCAGGCTGGTGCTGGTCCCTGATCTACAGATACCAGGTTCTGCCCAGTTGGGCTGGAGGAGACCATTCACTGGCTGGTAGATGCGTGTCACATAGGTAGTGTGTGGTGACAGCAGCCGCTGCTGTGGTAAGCATCTTAAGGGTCCAGAGCCTGGCTTTTCCATATAAGTAGGAGGCGGGAATAGTCCTTGGGAGGGGTGGGTGACTAGCAAGGCAGTCAGAGTGCCTGGCACATAGTAGGTAGGCACCTCAGTTTTGATGAGTGAATATCCACCTGAAAGGTGTCTTAATTTCTTAAAACAAATTTTAATAGTTTTTACTTCTGGGAGACATGGTAATACCACAGCTGTAATTACAGCGTCACCTTTCTGTGCTTCTGAGCCTTAATTGCCTGGGCTTTTTCCAGCATGTTCTGATAGAGATAGGAGCTGAGCTGACCTTCTGTCTTTTTATCTGTAGAGTCTGTCTGTTCATCTGCCATCCTTAGATGAGTTTGCACTTCCGTCAGTTGAGTTATCCAAGGATATATTGGGTTTAACTCTAGACAAAGAACAACTTTCTTGGAGCTGGTGCCTCCGTCCTCTTAGACAGGCTTTTAGTAACTTGTCAGCATGTCAGCCACCGCATCGCTATGGCTGTGCAGTTCCTGACGACCGTGACAGTGTGTGTGGAGTTCCAGCCAAGGAAGATGGCTGTGAGAGACCAGACGGGTGGAGGAGGGTGGGCTGACACCCTGGCCACAGAGTAGAGCTGACTCAGGCCCAGTGCAGAGGAGCCAACAAGTTAAAAAGTGGGACCTAGAAGCCTATGCTGTGGGAAAACTCTGAATTTCAGAGGCTGAGCCAGAGGATGTCAGGTCTCCGTACCTCCTGCTGTGCTACCTGACTTCCTAGTGTCCCCAGAGGCCCCCCGGGTCCCCAGAGTTACAGCTTCACCACGGCAGTACCAGGGGACAGGGGATGGAACCTTGTTCGGCAGGGAAGCAGAGGGCCCTGGGGCACAAGTGAGGAGCTAGGGGTGGGCTTAGTCATCTAAATAATGCCACTGGCACTTGGGGATCATCAGTATCCTGCCTGGAGATCCCGAATGCAGAACACCGGATATGCCAGAGCTACAGCAGGTCGTGCCTGCAGCCCTCCTGCAATCTGGCTGTGAAGACTCACAAGTGCTGCCAGCTGCCAGCATGGCCCAGCACCCTACATCTTGCCCTCTGCTCGCCCAGGGTGGGGCCCCAACCCCAGATTCCAAACCTTGGCTTCTTTGGTATTTACTTCTGAGAATGTAAAATTGCTTTCAAGAACACATTCATGGCTGCCTCTTCCATCGTCTTTGTTGTTTCCTGTTTTGAATATGTGTAGCGCATCTGCTGTTTATC